AGTATTTATACAGTGTTTGGTACCGACGTGGGAGGTACAATGATCGCATTCCATTTATCGTTATCTGATTGCTGGATCTTATTACAATCATATTACTAGCTGGCCAGTTATGGTTATTCGATCGCTAACCGGAAATGGAAATGATAAGGGCCTTGTCACAATAACTTAATTGAAAATAACTATCTAATTAAAAATATCGTTTAACAGATAATATCATTATCGCAGTTAAAATATGGGATATTTTGCAAAACTTCGTGTCATATGAATTAATTACAGGCATTGGTATTGTAATTTTATTTTCTACTCTGTCGGTAACATTGGAAACGACAGAAATTCTACCTAAAAATAAACTAGACCTGATGTTTTTTCACGATTTTTACCATTTATATGTCAAATGTGAATGTTTGCATCTGCAAACACAAGAAAACATTAGCAAAAATGACAAACACTTTTTTTATTTTCATTAATATTGTTATTTGTATATCGAAATTGATTCAATCCCATTAATTGATGCAAACATATCATTAAATGCAAATATATTGATGCAAATATACATGCAAAACATATACAAATTGTATGTAAATTATATTTGTCTTATGTAACATCATTAATTCTCAATACTCAGATTACACATTAATCTTTTCCATGTAAATTTTAAAAGATTTCAATGTTCATGACTAACTAGCGTAGAGATAAAACATCTTTTTTTATACTCCATTTCAAACACATTTTCCAAACCTTCGTCGTGCGTATTTAATGGAATTTTTTTTGTGTTGCAAAGAACTTTTTTGTATTTTAAATGTGGAATTTAACATCGATGTTTCATCATTCTGTTATCTGTTTTAATCCTGCAGAAAGCAAACAGTCCTGCAGAAATCGAACTGCATCGCTTCTTAGTAATCTGAGTTTTTTCTACAGTTGATTTCTGCTCCTGTCGTCCAAAATGATACTGCTGCTAATCTCAAATGTAATGAGTGCAATAAAATGTAATGGGTGATGCCACAATTTGTCATCCATAATATGACACTCCATCTTCCATTTCTTTCCTTCCATCAGCCATATCATTGACTATGGACTAGTTAGTCAATGACCATAATCATTGAGCGACATCAAAATCTCATACGTAAATCCTTTTAATTTTTATTATAGATTCTTCGTTATTCAAATCTGAAATACAATTTCTACAATCTAATTACATTCAATCGTTAGCAATTTAACATTCATCGAGTCAGCTGTCACCTTATTTCTACGTAAAAAAAAAAAAAAAAAACAAAGAACTGTATCGTACGGAATGAGATCAAATAAAGTCCCTGACTTCGATTAATCAATTTCCTGAGTTTAACATTATCAATTTTATCAACGTCTCGATTTATTGAACGAATTATTTATCGCGTGATTATCTTCGGATTATACTTAAATCCGTGTCTTCAGACTTGGTAGTAATCTCGAAATAGATTGTTTCGAATGACTCTTCTCACAGAAGACGATGCACTTAAGATTTTTCTCTCTGATGCTGATTACGAATAACAAAATTCCGATGAAGCGTGATTATCTTCGTCAACTGTGCGTGGAATTGAACGATCTATGTAAGAAGGACTATTCTTTCTATCTCTTAGTCTAACAGAAATCCAGCCACGATCATAGTCATTTAGGGACACATTCCATCCGCATCACGGATCTCTCTTCTCTGTACATACATTAAACAATTTTTTAGAATCAATTATTAGGATCAATTGGGATCAGTGATAATTATTTCAATATCTTTTCTCATTCGTACATTTTTGAATTAGTTTCTGCCAATTCAACCTCTATGAGGATTATTTTAATTGTATTAACAATGTCATCTGTTGATATTCACATTCTGATTTTTTTATTTATCGGTACGTCTATTGGAGTTTCTGTTCATCCCTCTATCCTCTAACCATTCTTACGTTCTTCCACCTTCACTAGTGGCTTTAGACAAGCATATAATTTGTTTCTTGAACTGTACGATTCCCATGACCTTCGTCAATGAAATCGTGTAACTAACAGATACGATTTTTTATTCGATTTAATTCTTTCCAATATGCGAAATCTCTCCGTAACACATTCTTTTTCAAGCACAGTTGTCCTCTGATCCATTCTTCCTTATCTATATATATCGAAATCCTTCCAGTGTTTTAGTCATGAAATAAGTATAACTTTAAGCGCGGCGATTCAATTTGTTCAGTTGACAATTCTCTGCTAATAATTCAATCTTTTTCGTACACGAACAGATTTTCTACGTCATTGATCGATTCGATCCTTGCAAATTCATTTGCAATTCTCGAACGGCCGCGCAATTTCCTCAATTATTATATATTATATATTATAATTATTATATATTTCCTCAAGTTCTAAACTTAAAACCAATTATAAATCATTAACGGCGAAATGTTTCAGGGGAACCTCTATATAAATCATATATTAATTCAGAATAAACGTGCAACTATCAAATATTGAATACTAATAAATACTAATATTAGAAATGGTTTCAATAATAACAATTGGAGATCATTGGAAACCATTATTATTTTATTTATTAGTTTACACATGATTTTTGTAGTTCGATATGTTTTTACAATGATAATTTCAATTTTTCCGCTTGTAAGATTATTTTTAGCAATTAATGAATAGAAAATGAAGAGCAAATAAATTATTAAAAATCGTACAGAATACAATACAAAATAGTTAAAATAGTCTCATCATCCATCAACATCTTTTAAAATCCAAATCAATTCTTACAGTCCTTCGTCTTCACTACGATGATTAATAAAAAAAAAAAAATGCAATAAGAACAGCAATGAAAAAAATGAAGGATAGACATCACATGCAAAAACAGTGGAAAAAAATAAGAACAACTTTATTATTCATCATTCATGATTCAAAATAATAAAAACCAGTCTCAATCATAAATTGCACGTATGTACATATTCTTCAGAATTGTATATGCCATAGTAATTAATAGAAAATATGCAACAAGGATATTAAAAATAAAATACGAAGCAATAAAAAGAATGTCGGGATGATATCACATGCAAAAATAATGGGAAAAAGAATGGAAGTAACTTAGTTTTTGTAACATTTAGTAACATTTATTGTAAATAAATTATTTGCTAACTTATTAACAAAACAAATTTAATCGTGGACTAAAATGGCACTTTGATTTAGCTAACTCACTAAATCATCTTCTTTGATTTAAAATCGAAGCAGCGAGACACATCTTCAGTTGCAAAAAAATCTTTATCCTCACTTCGTTGATCCCCTTTGAATCTTCATGCGTCAAGAATGGTCTTTCCGTAGTAGGGCACGCAAATTTTTCATATGTAGAAATCCAAGTACTACTCTTATTACTAACCGGTTCCAACAAAGTGTACCACACATTATTTGCCACTTAGGATACATGAAAATTTTGTTTTTTTTTTTTTTGTTTTTTCGTATTACAATATGTAGTTTCATCTTACATTATACTTATGCATTATACATCGTGCATTAGATTTTTGGCTCAGGTGAAAACAATCAGCAGAAAGATACGACAGATCGATATATCCATCCTCGGTAAATGGTATTTTTGCGTGTTTAAAAACTGGTGAAACTACTATAGAAAAGTCATTTCTATGAAATTCCGGATAATCAGCAACTTCTTCTATCTCTTACCACCTGAAAAAAAAAAAAAAAGGCAAGATGATACGCTTGACATGTTCTTTTTATACATCAGTATAAAACGACATTCGAAACCTGTTTCAGAAATGTAACAATGTATAACAATGACAGACCAAGCTTCAACAAAATTGAATGTTAAACTTTCTGCAGAATGATCATGCCTAACAAGAGAAAATATGAGAAACGTGAAATTTATAAAAAATATTATACAAGAAGTAGAAAAATAAGAAATAAAATGACATTAATATAAAATGGATATTTTATAAAATCTTTACTTGTTGAAAACTAGTTTTTTTCCTAATATTTCAAATTTCGTAAAATATGAGAATTTTGCTAAAATTTCTACTCCTAAAATGCTAGTATCATTTTCATATAGAGTAAGTCTGGAATAGTTCGACCACTTTTTGAAAAAAACATTGTGCAATTGTTTGCTTTTTTCAGATTTTTGTTGTTTCAGGCAAATTTATGCGTTGTTCGTATTATATTTAAGACGTAAATAAATCATATTTTACGACAACTTATTTATTTTCGTTTCCAATTCCCATCTCATCCGCACGTATACCTTAAATCGTAAAAAATAATGATATGTAGCTCAGAAAAATTATAACAAGTGAAGAAATTATAAAATTGGTATGCCTCTCTTCTTCGACTTTCCGCAAATATATTTTCGTACTTACAATATCAATCGTGAAGCCAACGGCTGCACATTTAATTCAATTGGGGCTTTTCGAATTTTTAAAATAATTTTCTCCGAATGCTTTTGGCACTCGACACTTTTCTTTTATAAATGTCAACTTTTACTAATTTATAATAATAATGCACTGTACTTATTTTATTATTAATTTATATTGTAATCATTAATAATAATAATATATTTAATATGGATTGAATTGTCCCGAATCAAAGCGAATCAAATTATACCAAAATCAAAGACATGATCGATCATCTTATCAACATAAAATAAAAGTAAATATGTATTATTGAGATTGTACTGCAGTTTTGCGCACATTATATCCGTCAATATTGAAACAGTGTAAATAAACTTACTTAGTTTTTCAAATATCACTAACATTATAACGCGAATAATATTTGACCATAAACGGCATATCTCCGGACATTGCGCAAATTTCAGCGACGTCCAACTGCGAAGGTGATTGAGTAGTTGAAAAATCTCCATACGCGTAGCCTATTAATTTCGGGTTGAATTCCTAAGTGTAAGGAAACTCGATTATGAAAAGGATCCGAAAAAGAAAGAAGAAAATTCATACGTGTGACGAATCTGCGAGAAATAAACGAACTTTAAGAATGTTAGGCAGCGTCAAGTGTGCCCGCAAAGTTCTCTGGCCACCAATGAATGCTGACGCGCCCCTATTTTCAACGAACATTTCCAACAAATTAGTCGCATAAAGTCCAGCACTGGCTGTCAAAGAATCGCCCATCGCGGCAATAACATCTATATCACCTGGCCTCAAACGATGAACTGACCGGGATTTCAGAGGACCTACCACCTGAAAGGGTTCAGTACGAAAATGCTCAGAGATTTCAAACGTAACTTCGAAGAGAAGTAGCTTCAAGAAACATTGTTCTTTGAACGTCGTTCTAATTACCTGTAACGTTACAAGGAAACGAAGCGTCTTTCGAAACCTCCTCTTGAATCGTTTTCAGATTTCGTGTTCAGAATGATCGTTCCTCATTTCTCGTTCCTAGAAATTTTTCGGTAAATTTCAAGTTCGTACAATTACTAATGTTATTGTCTTTCTGTTAAATATTTGATTTAATAATTAATGATAAATAATTGTTTAATTTCTATCTAAATAATTTGAAAATATACTATTATAATTATTTTATTTTATTTTATTATATATATTATATGTATACTATTATAAAGATTTTATTTAAATGTTATAATTATTTATTTATAATTATTTAATTTCTATCTAAATAATTTGAAAATATACTATTAGATAGTTTCTTTAAAATCTCTGGAACAAATTTGATCAGTGATGTAAACCTATATGTTAATAATTCAGTGAATAATTCAAGTCCTTCTATCTTCTATTTTAATTGCAACTTTAAACAATATCGAAACTCTTAGCCCTTCTTCTACTGACTCCCAACACCACGAACTTAAACAACTCTCTCTCCAAAACCATTATGAACTCCTTGCACATTGTGAATCTAAACATTACAAATTCTATTTTTTTTTTTAAAGTGTGTCATAGAACTCAACAATCACTGTGTCCCTAACCGTCGCATTTTCACAATTTCATTCCCAAAACGTCTCTTTCCAACCGAGAATCACACGTTTATCTCTTTCTACATACAGGAAGATCATCGCGTAAGATTCATTGCACAGTAATCGAACACGTACCAAAATTTTGCATCAATCACAGTAATCGAACACGTACCGAAATTTTGCATCAACGAACTTGACGATAAAGATGCAGATTTATCGGTGAGTCTAAAGCTGTTTTTTGCGACATTGCCAGCACGCATAATTGTAACGAGATAAAAACGAAGTATATCCATCACGTCTTGTTTTTCCAGACAATCAAACGCCGCGGTATTCCGCAACTAATTCACGCTGTTTGTTCGGTTGTAATTCCGCAGAAACACTGAAATCTGGTATCCTTTTGTCCTTTTTCAAAGCCTAGAACAATCTGCGATGTGTTAACATAAAAGTCCGCGCTGGCTGCTGCGTGCGCGAATCATTTAGGACTTTAATCACATCGCAGCCGGTTTGGATGATGGGAATCAATGATCGCTACAAAGGTTAGTGTGAAATCGTGCGTAAGTTGCATCGACATTATTTTTATTTGATCATCTCTCGAAAAATTCGAAACCTTTCGAGACGTACATACATAAATTATGTAAATTCAATGGTATGATAATTCTCCCATTTAGTTGAGATTAATTTAAGTTCTATAAATATCCATCGAGAAGGAGTGAATTATTACGTATATAGTTGCGCAAGATCGTGTCAAAATTTGAAAGAAGATAGAATGAAATTTTCAATAGTTATTAATTCATGTTTTCAAATGTGTTATTACTAAATTGCAACGTTGTTAAGTCACTGGCAATTAGTAGTTTAATTCGAAACTCGTGTCACATAAATCTAGTGCTCCTGCAGTTCATTGAATTGAAATAAATCTAAATAGCATAACGAATGAAACGTTTCGATGCTATTGTTTTTTTTTTAATTTAAAAAAATACTATACGTGTATAAGCCATGTAGGAGCCACACCTTTTTTATTCTGAGAATCATACTCGTGTCCATTCAACGGATCTTGTTGTCTGACTTGAAATTACACCACGAAACATTTGTAATTGCTACGTTGGCAAATGATATCACGATGCCTGTTCGATCGGACCTTTTCATGCTACATGTAGCCGACGAAATCGAGGAACGTGACAAAGAAGCTGACGTTACTCGAACGGTACCACGTACCATCAGGAAGTTCATGATCTGCATATGAATAGTAACGTAGCGCTGATATTCAAACGAGAGCGAATTTCATCTTCGGTAGAAGACTTTCAAGAGTGACACTAATGGAAAAATGAACTATTGATGAAACGAAAATAAGCATGATTTAATGTAACAGCAATATTAACACCCTCAATGCTGAGCTTCCTCAAATATTATTTTCTTATTTGCACATTAACATACTTGCTCCAGTACTACTCTCGAATATCTGATGTCAAGTCACAAAAATGACACTTGTAACAATTGTCATAAATTTTTTCCATCACCATCAGCATTGTGATATATAACGTGAGTTTGTACCTTGTATTGTTCGCATATAGTGGACGCACGTTTAATTAATTTTCAATACGGCACCACGTTCGTGATAATTGAAAGCAAATATTTGGTTTTACTTTCAATGTTATTTCTATTAATACCGTGAAATATTCTCTGTAATAATTCTCGAAATGACATGCACGTGTATCGTGCGTAATTCCTTGTAATTGTCGATGCTGGATGCTACGTAAATGCAAATATATTCTTGAACAATCACACGTGTATGAAATATATTTTAATCGAAACGTTTAAACAAAAAACTTGGTGGAGTAGCTGTTGAAGCTGGTCTCTTCTTTCAAATAGAATACTCCGCAACTATGACTAAGACATACTCATTTATTTATAACAAAGAACACAATAATGACTTAGATTTCAAGAATTTGAAAGAACTTCGTTCGAGTGAACCCTACTCATCGTGTCAGGTACACTCATTTACTGTTCATTCATAATTTTCTTTATCATGTCTATCCCTTTTTTCGAAATTATAAATTAATTACTAAAATATATTTATCTTTATAGAAATAAAAAATTGAAAGTTGAAAAGTCACGAGAACTTAACTAAAATCTATAATTGACAGGAAAGAAGTTCGATCAAATGATGAGAGAAAGTCGATATAATTATCTCATTAATCTCTTCTTTTTCTTCATTATAATAATCATAATATTTTTCTTTATTAATACGTATATCAATTGAAGAAAATTTTTCCCCCTTTCCCCCGTTTTACACATATGGACTATTTTTAAAATCTATACTTATGGTTTCAAATATTATTTTGAAGTATTATATATTTAAATAAATATAAGGATTTTCGTAGACGTTCTTCTTATATTTGTAGCGGCCTATATTTCCTCGAGTACGAGTTTCGAACACCAACTTGTACAAGCCGCAAGTGGCTGTGCGCCTAGCGTCGAAGTCAATCGATATTCGATGTTAAGCAGAGTGCGGAACACCGCTAGGGATGGGGGTTGACCATCCAGCCTAGTGAGTAGTTACAACAACAAGCGTCTGCGGTAAGGAGTCGCCTGCCATCAGCCCCACTGGATGAGTCTAGGCAGCGACTCTGAGACGAAACGCACAACCTTTCCTCACCTAACCCACATTATCATTTCCTACATTATCCTCGCATTATCATCGACACTTACAATCCCTTCACCGGGGCACTAATTGATCCAATATAAGACCAATATACTACTAAACGTGACGTCACCAGCACTTTTGTCACAATTAAACGTATCTTTTCGACATCCAAAAAAAAAAGAAAGAACATTGAAATACATGTGCTTGGTATATTTATTGTTAACCATTCGCGACTATGCGAAAAAATAGCTGATGAAATCTTTGCGCGATAGCGTGCAATTACGTATTTAATGTACTGCGTGATTGAGAAACCATATGATTCGACGGCGTGCCATTTATCGTTTGATACCGACGATTCTAAGAGTCACAAATTGCAAGAAAGTTTCGCTTGTTTCGTAACTGCTAGAAATCGCACGCGGTAACATACATTAACGTTAACGTCGCGCACAGCAAACATTAGGGCAAAAAAACCGGAAGTCAGATGGTCAGTTTACTACCAAGCAAAGCGTATCGCTTGTCAAGTTTATCTTTCTCGAAGATGCAAAAAGCAAAAACCATGCGAACGCAGGAAATAGATACGGAGGAGGGACGTCGAATGCTCGCTCATACGCAAACACAGTTCTCCGTTACTAGGGAACGTTACTAGGGAACAGTATTTTTAACAAGATTCGTTTGAAAAAAAAAAAAAGAAAAAAAGGGCACTCCCAGTTTCGCGAAGAGAAATATACTTATAATTACGAGAAGTGAATAGTGCGAGGTGCTCTAAATACCCGAAGGAAGGGGCATAACCTAGATACCCAGAGGTAAGCGTTGGAAACTCTAAACGCGTAAGAGAAAAGAGAAGGGACAGCAGGTAACTCTTGCATGAACTCGGGCTGCCCCCGATTTTCCAAGTGTTTACTTTATTCAGTGAAATTAAGAGGGTGAAGGAATAGAGGCGGGAGAGTGATGAGAAAAAGAAATCGATAATGGCAGAAACGTGGACAGTCCTGCGTCGAAGAACACAGAGGGCAAGTGAAGCCGAGGTAAAGGCTCCTTTAATATTTTATTTAGGAGGCTCCTTCTCATCTATTTTGAGCAGCTGGCCTCTCGTCGAGCATCGATCGTATGGTCGGCATTTTCCGTATGAAAGACACTAAAATATATGTATATGCGTACATACATGTAAAGAGAGTGGAAGAGAGAGAAAGTGAGAGAAAGATAGAGAGAGAGAGAGAGAGAGAGAGAGAAACAGCGAGTCGAGTTGGTACGCGTCAATAAGAGAGCAGGACCAACAATGAAAACATGAAAGAGAAAGAGAGAAGTAGCAAAGATGTTGGAGGAAAGGAAGCAAAGTGAGGAAAGAGACGGAGTGTGCGTATATCTCTCGCGAACGAGGTGCAGAGAGACGGGACCGAAGGGTTGTCAAGGCGAAGGTTAAGGTAAACCACTCTTCCCTTTCTCTGTCATTCTCCGTCTCTTGCTGTTTCTATGCTCCTCTCGGTGCTGTCGGTGTCATGTACGCGAGTCAGTGTCAAGGATCACTGAACTTCTGATTCGGGCCACCTCTGTTACACGCCTTTGCGCGTGTATATACATAACTTTTCTGCTGATCGCTGAGCAATATGGACGATAGGCTCACCAGTTTTCCCCGAATTCGGCACGAGGCGTTACATTCCTAGAGCTAGTTCAAATTTAGCTGAACGTTAATAGGTTAAATGACACCCAGTGTAGATTTACAGCTACGGCTGACGATGAGAGCACATGTATATCGCATGTACAGTGACTCACGAAAGTATTTAAATACCATTTACGAATATACCGTTCGATGATCGCAGTCGATCGCAGAGAACGACTTGCTATAT